TTTAGTGACTTAAAATCTGGTCAGGAGTCCTTACTTGCTTCACTCATTGTGGAAATTTTGTTTGGCTGGAATTTTATGTTTTTATACAATCATGAAAAATTCTGGTTACAACAAATGACATATCTGCATCATCAGTCAAGTTACTACCAACACTTGCTCCACTGTCTTTCGAAGAACTTTATGTTTTCCTCATCTTCAAATTCTTAGGGAGCCTTATCACAGTCAAAGTGTTGCCAGCATTATCATTTAATATCTTTATTTAAATTGGGAAGCTGGAACCCTCAATGCAAAGGAAACACATATGAAGACAATCCATGTCCTTCAATAAGGAAACTGAGCACCTTCCTCATACTGATGAGCTCTGTTCATTACTTTCTGTAGATCTTTCGCCTCTTGGCAGATATACCGTCTGTAACTTTGTTTGCTTCATACCAATAGGTTCTACTTTCAGAGTCGGACTTCTCATCTCTCTCCTTCCTCATTGCTCTTATTAAGTTCCCATTTCCTGTCTGCAGAAAGTCACTTTCTTCTAGTGAAAGACCCAGAGTTGAGCTTCACAAAGGGTCCAACCCAGTTCACTTCTGCAACATCTTTGATCACTCATTAATCCCCAGGGAGCATGGCACAGTGGGAAGCACATGGGATGACTTTGGGGTCAAGACCAGTCCCCTATGATTTTGTGCAGGCTACTTAATCTCTCTGTGCCTCAGTTTTATAATCTATTATATGGCACAGTTATATTTATCAGGGAAAAAGAAAGGTTATTTTCTCACATGACCTCACTTGTCTAAGAGAATATAAGAAATAGAGTATTAACACTCAGCATTTTGCAAATCTTAATTCTTCTTAAAATGGTGAGAGAATTAAAAGTCACCAATATTTCCCTTCTAGCTTTCTGTCAATTCTGTGATTTCTCTGTTGCCCAAATATGTGGGCCTTGTTGTATTTGAATATTTACGGCAAAAAGGATCCCTAGGGCTGGGGCTAGGTTTTACTTTTCTTTATATTCTGTGATCCCACACAGACTTCGTAGATGCTCAAATAAATGTTTGTTGAACAAATGAATATTTTATTGAATGTAATTGTGTAAACCAATGAAAATTTAATTATTTTATATCCAGACAGAATATTTCCGTGTTTTAATTTTTGCTGGGGCTGGCTTTAGCTGGCTGATGCATTGTATCTGTGTTTGATGTCCTCACTCTTGCGGAATAGAGAGTACACATGTATGTGTGGGGGTCTGCATTTGGGGACAGAAGGGCCTATATTTGGGGACATGCTATGTAATAAGCTGCTTTTCACATTTTCCTCCATTTCCTTTGTTGTGTTTTATCTCTCATTACTCGACTGTGAACTCTCTGAGGACAGTGACCATGCCTTATATTTGTTGTTACCATATATAATATTTTAGGGCTGGTTAACGCTGTCAATATTCAATAAGTAATGGTTAAATGGATGAATGTGGTAGCAAAGGCAACTCAAAGGAAAGTTAGCATTTTTTAATTTTTATATGATTTTTGGAAACAAAGCATCCTATCTTTCTCCTTTTTTATCTGTACTAATTTATATTTGTTTCATCCATAGCTTTGTTCCATGGAGCTAACTTTGGATTTATTGTTCTTTAACCTCATCCTTATAAATGCCACATGATTTGTGGAAAAAAGTTTAGACTCTGAAATTAAACAGACCTGGATCTATAACTTACAGGTTGTGTGACTCTGGGCAAGGTACATAACTTCTTGGTGCCTGTTACCTCATCTGTAAAGGTGAACAATAGTGTCACCTACCTGCTGGAGCTGGCTTTGTTTTCCCTGAAGTTCAGGATATTTTCCAACTTTTATTTTAGGTTCAGGGTGTATGTGTGCAGGTTTTTTACCTGGTATATTGTGTGATGCTGAGGTTTGAGGTACAAATCATCCCATCCACAGGTACTGAGCATAGTACCTAACAGTTATTTAAAACTTGCTTCCATCTCTCTCTAACACTCTAGTTGTCTCCAGTTTTTATTGTTGCCATCTTTATGTCCACGACTACCCAATGTTTAGCTTCCACTTATAAGTGAGAACATGTGGTATTTGGTTTTCTGTTCCTGCATTAATTGGCATGGGATAATGTCCTCTACCTGCATCTATGTTACTTCAAAGGACATAATCCCATTTTTTATGGCTGCATAGTATTCCATGATGTATATATACCACATATTCTTCATCCAGTCTGCTGTTGATAGGTACCTAGATTGATTCCATGTCTTTGCTATTGCGAATAATCCTGCAATGAACATGCTAGTACATGTGTCTCTTTGCAAGAACAATTTGTTTTCTTTTGGATATATATCCAGTAATAGGGTTGCTGGGTCAAATAATAGATCTGGTTTAAGTTCTTTGAGAAATCTTCAAACTGCTTTCCACAGTGGCTGAATTAATTTACACCCCCAACAACAGTGTACAAGCATTCCCTTTACTCCTCATCTTCACTGAAATCTGTTATTTGTTGACTTTTTAATAGTAGTCATTTTGACTGCTGTGAGATAGTATCTCATTGTGGTTTTGATTTGCATTTTTCTTTTGATTAGTGATGCTGTGCATTTTTTTTTATGTTTGTTGTTTGCTTGCATGTCTTCTTTTGAGAAGTGTCTCCTAATGTCACTTGTCCATTTTTAATGGAATTTTTATTTTTTTTGCTTGTTGAACTGTTTAAGTTCCTTATAGATTGACTATTAGATCTTTTCAGATGATAGTTTGAGAGTATTTTCTTCCAATTCTGTAGGTTGTCTGTTTACTCTGTTGAACGTTTCTTTTTCTGTGCTGAAGCTCTTTAGTTTAATTAGGTCCCACTTGTCAATTTTTCTTTTTGTTGCAGTTGCTTTTAAGGACTTAGTCATAATTTTTTTTTTCCCAAGGCTGTTGTCCAAATGACATTTTCTAGGTTGTGTGTGTGTGTGTGTGTGTGCGCGTGTGTGTGTGCGTGCATGTGTGTGTGTGTATTCTTATAGTTTGAGGTGTTACATTTAATTCTGTAATCCATCATGAGTTAACTTTTGCATAGAGTGCAAGGTAGGGGTCCAGTTTTATTCTCTTCATATAGCCAGCCAGCTATTGCAGCACAATTCACAGAATAGGGAGTCCTTCTGCATTGCTTATATTTGATGACTTTATCAAAGGTCAGATGGCCATAGGTGTGTGGCTTTATTTCTGGATACTCTGTCCTGTTCTACTGGTCTATGTGTCTGTTTTTGTACCAGTACCATGTTGCTTTGGTTATTGCAGCCTTACAGTATAGTTTGAAACCAGGTAATGTGATGCCTTTGGCATTGTTCTTTTTGCTTTGAATTGCTTTGGCTATTAGGGTTCTTTTTTTGGTCCCACATGAATTTTATAGTAGTTTTTTCTAGTTATGTGAAAAGTGGCATTGATAGATTGATAGGAATAGTGTTAAATATATAGATCCCTTTGGGCATTATGACCACTTTAACAATATTGATTCTTCTCATCCATGAGCATGGAATGTTTTTTCATTTATTTGTGTCATGTCTGATATCTTTCAGCAGTATTTTGTAGTTCTCCTTGTAGTTCTCCAGATCTTTTACTTCCTTGCTTAGATATACTCTTAGGTATTTTTTTTCATGGCCATTATAAATGGAATTACATTCTTGATTTGACTCTCAGCCTTAATGTTATAGGTGTATAGAAATGCTACTGATTTTTATACGTTGATCTTGTATCCTGAAACTTTGCTGAAGTCATTTATTGGTCACAGGAGCCTTTTGGCAGAGTCTTTAGGGTTTTCTAGATGTAGAATCATATTTCTGCAAAAAGAGATAATTTGACTTCTTCTTTTCCTATTTGAATGACATTTATTTCTTTCTCTTGCCTGATTGCTCTAGCTAGCACTTCCAATACTATGTTAAATAGGAGTGGCGGGAGAGAGCAATCCTTGTCTTATTCCAATTTTCAAGGGGAATGGAGAACTTTGTGAGACCTGATTAGATTGAATAATGTAAGGCATCTACTCAGACTAGGGGCTGTATCAACAGTAGGCCTTTTTACTGTCTCTGTTTCCATTCTCCTTACTCTGTTACAATTTATCCTAATTATGCCCTCTTTCTCCTATCAGGAAATGTGCATTTATAACCCTGGCTATCTGTTAGCAGCCACTAGACTGCTGGGAGTTAATGGGGAATAGAATACTCTGAACTATCAAAATTTCACTTCATTAGAAACCCTACATCATATCACTTTGGACACTGCCAAAGGCCTTTTAAGAATAACCACATTTTGCCTCATTAAAATAATACAAGAATAAATGTGAGCTTCTAGAAAAAACTCCCCAAATTACAGAGCAAAGAGGTGGAGAGATAAATGCCATGTGAAGAATCTAAGGATGCAGCATATATTCAAATTTATTATATTTCATTGTCTCTCTCTTCATTTATTAAAGTAGATTTTAAAAAATTACCCTCACAACAGGACCATTCTCCTTAGTAGATTTAAGGGCTGTTTCACCAGTATTTTTTCTTGAAATAATTGAGTTTGCTGTAATAAACTATTCAGCTTAATATTTTTCATCTCCCTCTAATACAAATGTATTTGATTTCTATAAATCTGAGTGAGACCAGTCAGGGAATTATATGCATTTATCTTCCACAGGGTATATGAGCTATTGAGTCATGTTGTATTTATTATAGATCATGTTTGCTATTTGGCAAGATAGTTTGAATTGTTGAGAACAATATATAATACTAAGAAAACAACCAGAAAGACAAATTGAAGTAAAGTGTTCTTTATAATAAATAAGTACATAAAATATTCTGTAGTGATTCAAGCACATATTTACATATAAAATATATTGAAAATATATAATTCTGTATTATGCATTCTGTTCATTTGTATGGTTCATAAACATATATATTTCTTTTATGTAAATAATATTTATATCACTTGGTCTTTTAATTTGGACCTCATGTAATATGTATATGTTTTCCTATTATATCTTTCTTCCAGCCTCAATTATGTGGATGTTTACTTGGCTTTGTGCTATTTTAATTATTTTGGCTATTGCTGGTATGAACACAATAGCAAAGACCACACCGTATACCAAATTTACGAAGAAATCTGAGGAAAGAGAGATGCCAAAGGGTCTAAAGCCATCCAGTGGCCCACCTCCACAAGAAGAAGAAACCCTCTTCACAGAAATGGCTGAAATGGCAGAACCAATCACCAAACCCTCAGCCTTGGATTCTGTGTTTGGCACTGCCACTCTCTTTCCCTTTGAAAACTTCACTCTTGACACAGCTGATTTCTTTTTGAATTGTTGTGATTGTTGTTCACCTGTACCTGGGCAGAAAGGAGAACGTGGAGAGACTGGAAAGCCAGGTATTTGAAAATACAGGAAGTCATGTTTCTCACTTGTACATTGGTAGAGTCGAGAGGTAGGCTGTGGGGTGAAATTGCTCCGAGTTTCTGCTTTGTCACGCAAATGGAGACAGGTCTAGGTGTCACATTGTTACAAATGCAACTGGGTCCTGTGTTGCCCAATGTGGTAATTAATAAATATTAAAATTAAAATTGAATGAGGTAAAAAATTCGGTTCATCAATCACATTAGCCACAGTTCAGGGGCTCAACAGCCACTGTATTGGGCAGCATAGATAGCATTTCCATCATTGCAGACCATTCTACTGGGCAGTGCGGGCGAGAGCAAAGTCAGGGATTACTGACCGCAGCATGGCGTGCTGTGGTTCTTCAAGATGGCAGGTTCATTACCAGCACCATTGTTTCATTAGTGGCTGATTTAGAAAGAGTAAATGAAGCTTCTGTTGCCTGGTAAGAATGTGTGCTGACTGATGGATTTTCTGAGTGCTATTTGTAGTTAGGATCAGAAATGGAATGGCTGTGAGGTGGAAAATAGGGCTTAGGATTCCGTTTGCTTCTCATTGAATTTCTGAGGCAGTACTGTGTCCTTGCCCAGTGATTTTCTCCATTGAACACCATGGTTATATATGTCAAGATTTCAGATGTCTATAATATATGCATAATGAATATACTCTCAGCATTATTCTAATACATTTCAGCTTTTACATGTCATATAAAAGATAATTCAAGGTAAAGTTAAGATCAGATTGTCAATTTCAAATTCACCATTCCCTGAAGAATTTAATGTTATAAACTCAGCAATTATACATCTTCCAAGCTTTTCATTCATTTCATCCCATTGTAGGGATGTTTCAGGAAATGTGGTATTTATGTAGAGCTGCACTAAGGGGTAAAGGAGATGGGTTGTAGCTTGCACACCAAGATGTCAAGATTGCTAAAACATTATTGAAAATTTAATGAGACTGAGAATATCATATTTACCAGAAGTCTTAGTATTCTGTCTGGTTGGCAAGCTGCTTGGGGGTGAAAATCCCAAGGATATGGTCAAGTAGACACAGCTGGTTGCTAAACTATTTGCTAAGGCTGTGAGTTCTGTAACATTAGGGCTTTTGTTTTACCCAGTGGTGGATTTAGCTGGGCTGTTCTCAGAGTTTGTTCTCTCCTCTAAATATATTTGACAAATAATTTCAAGGTATGCCAAGTTATTACCCTGCCTGGGGAGCCAATATGTCTTAGTCTGACTGGCTCTGCCACAGAGCATAGTGCTTAAGAGCTCAGAATGCACAGGCTGTCTTAGTCCTGCTTAAGGAAGCTCTTCTGCTTTGGGAAATCTTAGTCCATTCCTTGGGTCTTAGCTTAATGCCATTTTCTCAAGGAAGTCTCTCATCTCATCAATTAAGTCCTTTTACCATAACCTACAATAAGACCTTCCTATTTTTATTTCTGTTATTAACTACAGTGTGACAATTTCTATTTATTCATGTGGCTATTTATTCAATGTTTATGTTTCATAGACTCTCAGTTTCATGAGAGTAGGGACTGCTGGAATGTTGATGTCTGCATTCCTAACATCTTGCAGGGTGCTTGGTGTATAGAAGGCCTCAGAAATAGTTAATGAATGAATGAGTAAGTGAATGAAAGGGAAATCCAAATGTTCTAGGTGTGTTTTTACTTACAATCTGAAAGTGTGGTCCACATGAGGTTAAGTGTCAGATTATCATTTTGTTCTTGTTTGATATAGTGCTGCTTCCCTGAATCATTTGATCACTGCAATGAATACAGTGACAAGTACTAATGGGCTCAATTTATCTATTCAGGTAGTACAAAACTGCAAATCAGACAAAAATATTGCCCTTAGAACTCTGTGATGATTTATTCTCACTCAGATTTTATCATTAGGTCATTGACACTTACTGATTGCAATAAAATGCTTTTTTTCCCCCTGGAACTAATAAACTTCAAAAAAAGAATTTTATGTTCTGATGTGTTTAAAATTCCATTTCTAGGCCCTAAAGGAGAGACTGGGAATTTGGGGATCCCAGGGCCACCAGGAGTTGTTGGGCCCCAAGGCCCTAAAGGCTACAAAGGAGAGAAAGGTAGGTAACTCATTCTGCATCATTTATCAGGAGAGCAACTTGCTAAGTAAATACTAGATTCTTGAAGGTGAGTTAGTTTTTAAAAATGTAAATACTTGATAAAGCACATTATATTTGATATAAACATGTTAACTTTGTAAATAGCCTATTGAGATATTTTAAACTTACCTGGGAACATTGCACACATGCATGCACACACACAGATTGTCATACAGCTTTTCCATCTCTCATTCGCCACCTGGCTGACCTAGTGACTAGCAGCCACAGAGTACAGTCTCTGGGGAAGGCTACAGAGATACCCTTCCTGTACATGTGCATGTGAGCCTACTTCCTTTGGATGCAAATAATTTTGTATCAGATGGAACAAACTAAAGCAGGCAACTCCCTAAATATTCAGTCTAGGTGGATAGTATGCCTGTGCAGGAGAATTTAACATATCCCTTGGCTCACTCTGAAATTAGAGGCACTGTCAGTGGTAGGAAGACAACTTAATTAAAACAGAAGTAATCAAGCTTACAATAGTGACATTGGGTCCGTCATTTTCTTTCACTTGGAGCTTGAGGGAGATGACCTAGATATTTATTTATACCTTGTTTACTAGCAAAGAAGATTTGTAGTTATTAGTGCCTTTGTAGCTCTTTTCCAGCTCAGAAATTCTGTAATTCCATAGGTGTATCCATAAAGAAGGCTTTCTGTCCCAGGAAATCCCTGGTTCTGTAAGTGCTTAAAGGTACCAAAGGAAGGCTACAGATTCACTAGGATATTTAGAAATTCCTCAGTGAATACCAGCAGCCTGTAGAAATACCATCTATCCATCAAGTTAAATGTTTTAGCCTCAGTGTCACATGTCAAAAGACCTAATGCTGTCTATACATCACCCTCCACATGGCTCAGGAACTGCCTAACTCATTTCTGGTAGAACATTCAGTGAAGTAATTACTCAAAAAAGATGCTAAGGGAAGAGAGAGCTACTTCACACTTGTCAGTTACATGATTTTCATTCTTGGAAACATTTAATCCTTTTGTGCCTGAATTATGTTAGCAGAAAACCTTGTGAAATAAAGATGAGTGATGAACCTCCCCAGTGATTCATACATTTGGGAAGCTAGACTTCTGGAAATAGAAGAAAAAATAGGGAAGTGCAATAAAATAAGTTTCTTAAGAATATACTTTGATGAAGGATCAAAAGTAGAAATTCCTTTGGCCGGTCTTTATAAAGTAGCAACTCCACTTTCCTTTCACTTCCAGACTTAGCTTGGACTCTTGGTTAAGATAGAAAGTTAGAAAAAAAAATGAGTTGAATGACTGCATTCTAGTTAATCACTACCTGGTTGAGTAAATTAGGGGAAGCAATTAAGCTCTTTAAAGGAACTCTAGAACTGGTACGGCTCTGTGTGATGAAGGTTGGTATTTGAGTTATTGGCAAAAACTAGAAATAGAATTGGCTCTTCACTTCCATTTAGGGCGGGTTCCCTCAAAATGCATTCAGTTATTTTCTTGACGGCCTATGGTTTTATTTCCAAATTTTGCATTTTATGCAGAGTAGCAACTTAGAAAACTGCTGAATGACCTATGGTGGGATTTCTCTAGTTGGTCTTGTGAAACTGGGAGGAGTCTATTCTCATGACTTTTAATTTGGCTTAAGATTAATTTTAATTCCTGACAAAAATAAAACAAAAGATGTTAGTTATATCATAAGCAATATAGATTGCAAATTGATACCAACCAATGTCATATGTAATTGTATTTGACTCTGTCCAAATTTTTAAATTTTTTCATACCTCAGTTTCTTTTGCTGATAAAATAATTATAAAAGTATCTGCTCTCCTTTTCTTGAAGGGCAGATGCTATAAATTTTTGTAAATTTAGAATTTTTCAATTGATTAAATGTGTTATGCTATATGAAGCTGTGTTACAGAAGAGTGTTAATGTGTTAATGTCAAGTAAAAATTATATTAAATTAAAGATTGGGTTAAGTAAAAAAAAAAGAGCTTCCAACAATATCCGTGCAAAGTAAATGTCTAATAAAAGTGAGATATTATTAATACTATTATTATTGTTACAATCGTTAATAGTTGAAATCAATTCAGTGTGACAACTATAATAAGATGGGCTTTTAGTAAGGCCCAATATAAAAATATATTTTATGGTAATATGACAAATATCTGAAAATCCAGATATTTTCCATTTTTTCACCCATGAATTCCTACATTTCTATACTTTGTCCAAAATGTATATAAAAATATTTCAACACAAAATGGAAATTGGCTTTTTCTTGATGCTCTATATAAAGAACATTTTTTTTCCTGGACTATTTTTTGGTTATCATTAGTTTTAGCAGGATGTAGTGCCCTGTGTGCCCTGTGTTTAAACTTGTAGGGAGCATGACATTATTTCTCAGGCATTTTGGCCTAAAAAGAAGGTATTCTAACTGTTATTCAAAATTCATATTGGGAAAAACATAAATACATACATATATAATTCAAGCAGAATGTCATGAGTTTTATGAGAGGTTTGAAGAGCCATGGAAATGCTGAGGGCACAGATAAATTCCATTTGAAGGGATCACTGCCTCCAGATCTCTTTTAAATAGTTTACCATCAGTTGAAGTTAATTATTCCTAATGACCCTCAATTCATTCTTTCTTTCTCTTTCTCTCTTTCTTTCTTTCTTTCTTTCTTTCTTTCTTTCTTTCTTTCTTTCT